CGCTCTGCAGGCAGGGACTTTTCTCTCACTAGTAGTTATGGACGAGGCTTTTCTCATTCTGCCCCTCTCTTCTGGACTGGAGCACAGAGGAGGTGGAGTGACGCTTTTCCTTACTCCCTTATGTCTCGTCCCTTCCGACACACAGCACCACATCCTTCCGTCCTCGTCTGTCCCTGGACATCAGCGATAAGCACGCCGGCAGCTTTCCTGTCTGGGTTCATTGCAGGGAAAAGCTGGAATAACGCTCCCTGCAGAAGCCGGGGCAGGGTCCCCTTGCCCGGTGCCGGCAGCACGTGTGGCTGGCAGCTGGTGGCTCCTGCAGCTTTTTTTTGGTGTTTCCAAATCAAAGTGACCCGCTGTCAGAGGAGGACATGAGCCCACGCTGGCACTCAGATGCAGCAGCGTAATGAAGCCTATTTTTCTAAGGGCATGTTTGTTAGCAGCCTCTGAATGACAGCACCTGGGGGTGAGAGAGGCTGGGGGAAGGCAAGAAGACCCAAGGGGCTGGATCGGCACGTGGGAGAATTTCTTCCCGTTGTGCATCGCGTGGGGAGCTGCGAGGCCAAATGTTGCTCTGCAAAGGAGAGCAGGCGGCGTGACAGCCCCCTGCCCTGGGGATGTCCAGGCTGATGCCTGGGGACGGGTCCAGATGGTACCGGGTTTGCAGTCAAAGGGGTTTTTTTCTTTTGGACGTGCGAGCGGCCGGTGGAAGCCAGGGAGGACCCGGGTGGGCTCAGGTTCAGAGGAGGATTGCCGGAGAAACGCTGCTGCATCAGAGCAGTGTGACTTGGGTGAGGCCTTCAGAGGAACGTGGGCAGGGTGGCAGGACAGGGCGAAGGAGGCACAAGGGGCTGGTGCTGGGAGCCTTGAGGAGCTGGGTTGAGAGGGAGGTAGAGAAGATGCTGCTGCCTTGTCCTTCGGGGTTGCAAATTAGGGGCTGAATGAAAATGCACCGTGGATAGGTCGGTCTGTGTTCGACTGAGGGAGGGAGCGTGTGAGCAGAGACCAGCAGGGCTATGTTCTTTTGAAGGGTGAGTGCCCCCCTTTCTCTCTCTTCCAGCATTTGCTGACAGCATTGGCATCTTGCAGGAGTGATTGGGATGCTCTGTGCTTCATGGGCACCTCTGTTCTTAGGGACAGCGGGCGAGAGGAGCGGGTTTGCCCTTTACTCTTCCTTTCCTATTTGCTTCCTTCAGAGTCAGCTTTTTTTGGGGTGGAATCGTTGTGTTTCCCCATCGGCGGAGGCAGGAGAGGGGGCAGGCAGCGTGCCATGCTGCTCCCCCCGTTCAGCTCCGTGTGGCTCCAGCTTTGCGGCACCGCTCTTGGCATGTCCCCGGGGGGTCTGCGGGGATGCCGGATGCCCCCAGCGGGTGTGCCCAAGGGTCACGCCGGGCCCCATCGCCGGTGGCCTCGGTCCCTGCCGGCATGACGTCCGGGGCTGCCCCGCTGACCCCGGCCCCGCAGCCTGCCTGCTCTGCCTGCTCTGCCGCTGCGGGTTAAGCAGTTTAGCCGCTGCCGCTAAGCGCGTTAACACCTTGTGAGGGATCAGTTCAGCTTTGCACAGATTATTTTGCCTTCTGCTGAATTGATCCATCAGGATCAGTTGCTAAAAATGTTATCATCTTGCCCATCGGTAGTTTACACCGGTGCCTTTGAGGCGAGGACTCTTAAGACACTTATTCAGGGAGAAATTCGCCTCTCCTTGTAGGACCAGCACAGAGCCGAGATGCTGCTTAAGTCCCGCTAACTCCCTCCAAAAAGGGATTATGCTAAAAGAGGATTGCACTATGCATAAGCTTTGAGTGGGCAGAGAGCTAGGACAGCCCAGCAGTGCTGGTGACCTTGCTCTTGTGTCTCAAATAAATTCTGATATCGCATATAAAAGTATTTGCTGGTATCTTGGCCATCAGGAGTAGCCCAGCAGTTGTCCTGACAAGGGTTACATCTGAGTGTAGGGGAAATGCAGAGAAAGTGAGCCTGCTCCTCTGTCTTGGACTGCACGTACGCGTCGTGTGCAAAGTGTCACCGATAATCTCTGTCCAGGTCCCCTCTGGCTGGCCGTTTCACTGCATCCTCTTTGAGCAGGCTGCAGGCGTGTGCTGGCAGGAGCTGCCTGCCTCTGCAGTCAGAGGAACAACCCAGGTTTCCCTGGGGTTAGCCCGGTATCTTCTCAGGTGTTTGAGCTGTGTAGGGATGGTCCTCTCCAGTCCTTTGCGTGTGTATAAATAAATTTTTCAAGACTGTCTAGTTGCTGTGTGGGAACTGGGTTTCTGTGGTGCTCCTGGGTGACAAAGTTGTTTTGGCTGGGGTCTGATATGCACATCTGTGGGGTGATGTTCTCCTGTTGCTGCAGGACTGTGCCCAAATACACCCGTGACAGATCCACCTTACCCACCTCGAACAAGTACCTCCCTCAGCCTGCCCATCCTGCACGCTGCCTTGCCACGTGTGCTGCCGCTCTCTTGAGTCTCACTCCTCATACCAACCTTTGGATATTTTCAGCTTTAGGATTGTTATTGTGGCTCATTTCCAATCCTAAATTAGTTATTTAGGACCTTTTTGGAAGTTTTTAACAAACAGAGTGTCTCCACACGCTATCTGCAGTGCAACCATGAATAGCCAGCCACCAGCACTACACCTGTAAGGGGTCACATGTAAGCACAGGGGCTGGTCCAGGGACCAGATGCTCAGAATTAGTCCCATGACAGCACTGGTGTGAGCCCAACCTAACTGGCCTTAGCAAACTAGCAAATCTGCAGCTGAGTTTGGACTTATTGCCTGGCTTATATTGCTGCTGAGTCCTGGTCTTGCTTCGCTCACTGTTGGTGTTTTCTCCTTGTTTCCAGGTACTGGCGCCGAGCCCTGGGTATGCAGGTTAGATACGCAAACTACGATGACTATCAGTTTTGTTATTCCTATAGAGGGAGACCTGGATACCGACCGTCCATCCTGATGTTACATGGGTTTTCAGCCCACAAAGACATGTGGTTGTCCATAGTCAAGGTGGGACTCCACTTCCATCATGTTGCTACTTAGTGAGGGTCGGTGGTCCTGGGCTTGGGGGTGGTGTGGGGACACAACAATTGTGTGCATGGGATGTGATGATCGCTGTAACTTGCTAGAGACCCTCCTTAGCTCTGTGTTTGTTGCTGGTTGGATCCCTTTCATCCCTGTGACATGCAGAGCTGCAGGGAAAGAGCAGGACATCCCTGCCTCCTCCCTGCAAAGCAAGTCTTGTCCGTGGTTTCTCATCATGTCGTCCTTGGTACATGAACTGACTTATTGTGGTGCACGAGTAACCAGAGGCTGCTAGGAGGAGAGTGACCCTCTTACTCCCACCCATGGCCACCAGTTTCCATTCCTGAGCTTCACAGCAGTTCCCCTGTGCAGTAACTGCCCCTGGTTTGTTTCTGCAGTTCCTGCCGAAGAACCTGCACTTGGTGTGTGTCGACATGCCGGGGCATGAGGGCACGACCCGCTCGGCCTTGGACGATTACTCCATTAGTGGGCAGGCTAAGAGAATACACCAGGTAAAGCCCCAGCATCGCATCGCCTCTGCACAGGGATGCAGGGACGTGAGGGGTGCGGGGGCATGAGGGACGCTAAGCCCTGTGAGCCCTGCCTTGTGCGGCCCACTCCCTCCCTTCCCAGGCAGCCAGAGCCACCAACCTGAAGCTTTTGAGTTTAATTTCTCTAATGAACCCACGCTGTTGCTTCCTCTCCCCTAACAACGCTCCTTCTGCTCCCCTGCCAGTTTGTGGAGTGCATCAAGCTGAACAGAAGGCCCTTTCATCTGGTTGGCACTTCCATGGGGGGAAACGTTGCCGGCGTTTACGCTGCTCAGTACCCAGAAGACGTCTGCAGCCTGACCCTCATCTGTCCTGCAGGTGGGCAATGCAGGGGAGGCGAGATGGGGAGAGGGTTGGGGCTTCGGGAGCCGAAGAGCTCTGTCCTCCCACGTTTGGGTGCTCTGAGTGGGAAGAGCACTTGGGGCCGGGCACAGGTCAGCGGGGTGTCCCTGTGCCTGCACAGCACAGCTCTGTCCCCACCATCCCCTCCATCCCCAGCTGGGGGCCTCGGAGGAGCCTGGCCGTGACAAGCTGCCGGAGGCTCGGGGGGTCTGGCAGAGAGCTGCTTTGCTGCGTCCCGGTTGTTATAGCAGCTCCTTCCCCCTCCCACGCAAGGAAAGCGGCTTCTAGAGAAGAAATAAGTAATGAAGCAAAGCGAACGTTACCTAGCTACCAGGCTCTGGGGGCGGCAAGTTCCCGCTCCTCTCTGGGAGAGGTGTCGGCTGGCTCTCCGGGTGTTTCTGAATGTGAAACCTGGGGGGGTCTGCAGGGAGGTTTGGGGTTAAGCTGCCAGGGAATTTTCCCTGCAGTGGTGCACACAGGTGGGACTTTGGAAATTTTCTGTCCAACCCTGTGCTGTGGCAGGCTGGGCGCGGGCGTTCGTGTTTGCATCCGCTGGCCACGTAAAAACAAGCCCTGTAGGTTCCGCCCAAGTCTTCATGCATGTCCACAGGGAATGCACTTCGCGCTGGCAGCCCCCCGGGGCCGATGGGGGCCGCCCTGCAGCCGG